TGCACCGATTCTGCGGTCTGTGTTTACAGTTCAGGGATGAAACACGTTAAGAAACCAGTTCAATGTAAATACAGGTTTGCTTATACGGGAGATTTAAATGGCACTTCCAGTTTTTTGCTAACTGTCGATTGTGTTCCTCTCTACGGTGGGCCAATAGCGCCAAACAAACTGCATATGTTAACACATAGAAGATTTCAGGCCCCTGTCCTCTTCCAATCTCCTGGCTATGGATATTCATCATTTGTATCATTAAAATTTCTGAAACACTTACTACTCGAACAACTGATCTAATCTGATTCGTGGATTTCTTTTAATGAAAAATTAGTACCGGTGTATCCAAAATGCTAGTTAATCGAACAGTTTTTCTTTTGCTTCGCAGGTAGCTCAAGAAGAATAGGGCACTTAACAAAGCTGCCAGCAAGTAGCTGCTCATGAAACTTAGCATGAACAAAAGGAACAAGGAGCAGTTCCCCTACATTCATTCCTAACAGTGTGTTTACATGTAGTACAGTTACTGGCTATGATAGAGGAAGTAATCGAGAAATGGATGTTTGAAGCATCTCTTTGTGATCACATATACAAACTCTCCGTCAGATAAGCGACATTCAAGATATTACAGCGATTAAGCGAAAAAGTGCGGTAGAAAATACTGCTCAATTCCCAAACAACGGTTGTTTAGTGACGCAAACACGTCGGTAAGCAGTGCAGTTTGAAGCCTGATGTTAGTTGCAATTTCTGTGCGTGGATCTCCAACAGCATCAGCGCCTCATGAGTGTTTGAGGTTAAAAATATTCAGATTAAAAATACTGAGAATATCAAAACCTCTAGAGCAATCAGTGTGGCTATTCCTGTCCACCCTGTTAGCGATGTTACTAGAATGTTCTTATAAGCGGAGCGCTGCTCGATCCTGGGCTGCATCATCAAACGAAAATAGATTAAAAATAATGGCATCCCTAGTTTTTAAAAATAAGTCTTTCTTCCTCCTTCTCTCTATCTTTATATCATTCTCTCATTTACCACCTCATTATTCTAACCTTACGCAATTTGGTATAATACACATGGTGGGTAGGAGGCTGTACTGACGATGTACACTTTAATCCGTAAGCTCCATTTGGCCTGTGTTTATAGCTAAAGACGGAACAACGACTGTATTTTAAATACATCCTCTTGCGCATGATACTTAGATTAGTATATCTTCCCTTACCTTCTACTTTTATTTTAAAAATACGTGTTGAAAAGCATCAGCCAAGCGAAAAGTGAACTCCTCTGCACTTGCTTTTATGAGGGAGGACGAATGAAATGAGGAAATTTATGATAAGAAAGTTCACTTGGTCTGCAATGAGTGCGACTGTGATGCGCGGTAGTGTCGGCGACAATTCAATCTGCACACAGTGGATACGGGATGGTGAGGCTGTGTGTCATAGACGCGATTTGCTTTGCAGTTCATGGAATCCTGCGACACGTTGCGCGCAAGTAATCCCTCATGAGTGCATACCACCTAAACACAATATCCAATCAGCAGAACTTGAAAATCTGGATAAAAAAGAACAGGAAAGTTATTAAATGAGCCCAGACTGATCAAAAAACTGTCGATTATGTCTGAAATAAATGGCTTCTGAAATGAAATATTCCATGAATTTCTCGAATTATTCAGCCCACTGACCAATTAGCTGGGATTTGTCAAGAAACTATAGCATTGAAAAATTACAACAAAAAACTATAACATTTTGGACATTATAACACTGAGAGTTCACTTCGCAGAAGAAAGTTTGTCAGACCACATACGTCATAAATTAAGTTTCAGGCCGAATCAAAAATCAGAACTTTCTTTGTATTCATTCTCTGTAAGACAGGGGAAATCGGAAGCAGGCCAAATGATAGAATGTGACAAAAGTAACCACTTGAGCAATCATTTGTAAGGCTGTGGCTTCCTTTTCCGAAGACCGCTTAGAAGCAAGTAGGCAATGTTGTGTCTTACACTTTTCAAAATTAACTTCCTTTTAAAACGAATTCTCCAGGAACTCAACGCCCCATTATCGGAACGGCTGTAGCGTTACTTCTCAATACTAGTAACAGATACGGAGTCAATTCGTCAGTAAGCGCCAAATTACTTCATTTTCCACTGGCCCAGACTAAAATTTTCTGGAAATTCCCGGGCGGATTATTTCCGGAAATTCGAAAAAAATGTTGTACTGGACAACAGCTATAAAAACAAAAGAAGAATGGGAAAACAATAAAAAATGCATATGAAAAGATACCTGACAAAAAGCTTCCGGCACAGTCCAAAGACCATTTTCTTCGCACGTCATGTAGTTCATTTGTCCTAAAAAAGACCTTTTTTGTTACAAATATTCAAACATAAGTTCACTGTGTAAAGTTATGAGCCTCTCAGGAGATGAGCTAAAAGGACCGCAAAATCACTGGAATGCATAATAATTTTGATAATCAGAGGATAAATTTAGCTAAAAGGTAAGTCTGCCTGGACGGTATTACTCTGAAACCTTATCAGTCGAGCAAATAAATACTTAAAAAAATGTCCTGCCCAAGTAATAACTACGTAAAAAAAAGAAAAAAACAAGGACATGCGAGAAGTAAGAACAATTTTATTTTTGTTATGCAATTAAAATATGTTTCTAGATTCTTCCTTTGGACTGCAAATAATTTCCTACAGCTTAAAAAATGCACTGATTTGCTTGACATTTCAAAAAATACCAATCATCATCGCATTACTCCTGCATCGAAAAGTACACCGGTTACGATAGTTAGTTCCATTTGGACAGTCAACATCTGCATACTCAATTTTTGGCATCGAGCAGCTGATCGGTTCGCAAACCAAATTTGACATTCCAATCCAGGCGCCATTCGAACATACAATGACCGCTGATTTTTGGGAATTTTGAAATATGAAGCCAGTTTCGCATGTATATGTGCATGTTGCACCTTGGCATTCATGCTAAAAAAGAAACCCGACAAGTGCAGTTATGGAAAACAGCATAACAAACGAACTCAAGTGAAGGCAAACTCCTCGTTCTTACCCAAATAGCAATACTAAAACCGATTCCAGGAAAAACAGTGGATAAACAGGATAGCTTTTTAAGAGAAGCCGAACTCTCAATCCCCCGAGCAAGCTTTCTCACGCTTTATTCAAGTATCTAACAATTCTGTTTCGAACAACACTGCATAATCTGCAAGGCCTCTCATCATCGTCTAGAGGCGGGAGGAAGTGAACACACGCCTGGGAAATTTCGAAACGGCTAGAGCTTTGCCAAAGTGCTAAGAAAACCGCTAAGTTGGTAATCCCTTCCTGAGGGGTAACGAACTTTAAAATGGCAAGCAGTAGGCTGCCTACCAAGCGATGCAGCATTAGTCAAAGCAATTGCTAAAATTAGTGCGGAAATCAAATATGCAGTAACTTGAGCCGAAAGAAATATTCAAAGTACAATGTATTCATGCGAAACTTCTTCCCATTTTCTTTTAAAAATTTTTGCATCGCTGCGCAACAAAAAGTAACATGGCGAAGGCATATCTCTCCAATGTGCATATGTCTAAAATGTCGGGTGACCTAGTTTCAGAACTGCGAAAACCAGAAAGCCACGGGAAAAAACGTAACAGCAAGCCACGGTGTCGGGCACGGCCCCGAGCTATGTACAGACCCAAAAATGCAGAACTAAAATTCATATCACCCCACAGCTCCACGCAGGAAGACATGAAAATTATGAATTCAGGCTTGGCATTATATTAACATAATCTCAGCATTTACCACCAAATCGCTCATCTAGGCCCAGGGCTATGCTGACTATTGTAAATTCATTAGACGAGAAGGTCAAAAAATCATCTTGATGAGATATCAGGGCCACATCCTTATATGTAATGTATGTTTTTATATTATTTACTATTCCCATATTCCGCTATTTTTTTTTTTGCGTAATTCGCTCAAAAAATGAAGAAAAAAGAATACATACGCGTGAATTTGGAATATACAATGGAGCACAAGAATGTGAACGACAATCTTTGGCCACACAGTGGCCACCCAGCGGATCGAAATACTTATTTTCATCTGGAATAATTGACTTCAAAAAAAAAAATTAAAACCCTCTCCTCATTCTGTCCAGAAGGGAATAAAAGCTTTCGTCAACACTCGATGACAACGCTCTGGCGGAGATTACAGAGACTATCTTATCAAAAGACGCTCTAAGGTGAGGGCATACTAACGCCCATTATACTCGACATGCAGAAGTACTACACACCTATTATCAAGCGACCAGATATTTGGGTTGTTGGACTCCACGTTAGTGATGCTTATGTCAGGCCCTTTAATCCTGAACTGCATAGCTCCAGTTAGTTGTTACCACATGAAAATGAAATAAAACTTTGAAAAGACCACTCTAGGCATATTGTGAACTAATATTAGCGACAAAAGACGTACCAGCGCAACTTTGTACTGTGAGAAGATCAAACATCTTCGATGAGCGCAGTGTAACTGAAGTTACAGCTACCTGGGCTGGATCTGTTACATGAATATGCACTGCCCGAACTGTCGAAATCCGGCCAACAAGTGTGTGTGGGATTGGAATTTCCAGTGGATTTTGTGCGCAAGATAGAATTCGTTGTTCTAAAAAGTACGTTCCATATGCAACCAGTCAAATATTATGCGTGGTAATATTTACTCATTCATAAGCTAGAAAATTCAAAAAAAAAAGAAAAAACAAATTGAAAAATCCACGAAAAATAATAAACTCAGACAAGAAGAAATTCTTTGATAAGGCTATCCGACATTTGGAACAGCCTGGCTAGAAGCTTTGCTCATTGTGCAACTGAATTTATCGATGTTTGATGTAACCTCCACTCCCCCCCCCCCCCCCCCCCC